AGCAATACCCATATGGGCCTTTGAAGTCGAAAAGTCGCCTACAAAATTTTTTCTTCTCTGTTTTGGATAAAGTCCACGGTGCTGCTGGAAGGTATGTTCTTTTTCCTTGAGATTTCGGATGCAGTTCCTTCCTAATACCAAGGTCCTCCAGGTCTTTTTGAGCTTGAAGACCATCTTTTGACTTACCACAATGCAACAACGTAGATACAATGCTTGCAGCCATCTTTCTCTCCACGTGCATAACATCTATGTTATGCCTAACCGGCAGTTCCTAACAGACAAACACAAAACAAAAGTCATACAAATGTTACTTGAAAAGATGTAATAGTCAGATGATAGTAGAACATACCTCCCAATAAGGTAACTTGAAGAATATCGACCTTTTCTTCCATCTTGTTAACTCCTCCTCATCCACGTTGTCTTCTTCCTCTTCCTCTTCCTCGGATTCACTGGAGGCATCTTTGCTATCAGATCCTGATGCAGCGCATTCAGTCCTTATTCTCTTGCCAGCAGATCGGGAATAATTTCCAAACTCATTTCTGAAATTTCGTAGGTTTCGTGAAACTTCCTGTCCATACAATATTCTTCCCCTTCTCCCATGTTCAGCTTTACCATCGAACCAATATTTCTTGGTGGCAGACCTTTTCTGTGACCCATATAGATGTGTTTTCTATTGAACTTCAACCATTTACAATCAGTATTTTTCCCATACACCGGACATCCCATTTTACCCTTTACTTTACAGCTTGCAAGATTTCCGTAGGCTGGGAAATTACTAATTGTCCAAAGCAGCATTGCCTTAAGTGTGAAAGTAGATTTACTGAATGCATCATAGGTTAACTCCCCTTCGTTCCACAGATGACTTAGATCTTCTATCAGGGGTTCTAAATAAACATCTATACTATTACCAGACTGTTTGAAGACCAGGAATCAACAACGTGAGCATGATGTTCTCCTTCTTCATGCATAAGTCAGGTGGTGAATTGTAATTTACTAACAAAACAGGCCAGCAGCTATACCTTGTATTATTCATGTTAAATGGGTTAAACCCATCAGTAGAAAGTCCAAGCCTTAAGTTCCTATCTTCGGCTGCAAAGGAAGGATATCTGTCATTCATCTGTTCCCAAGTAACTGAATCCACAGGATGCCGGAGTTTTCCATCACTACTCTTATTACTAGAATGACACCTTTAATTTGTAGCCATTTCCTCAGATCTAAACAACCTCTTCAGCCGTGGGATTAAGGGAAACTACCTTAACACTTTCTGCGGGACACATTTCTTTATCTCACCGGTGTGCATGTTGGTCTTCCATCGTGAAGCCTTGCATTTTGGACAACTCTCCAGCTTCTTGTATTTCTTTCTGAATAAGCAGCAGTCGTTGACACATGCGTGAATCTTCTGGTACCCCATATCAAAGGATTTAAAAAAATTTCTTGACATCATACAGTGAGGTGTGTAGCACGTTATCATCTGGTAACATCTCCGACACTGTCTCCAGTAGATCATTGAAGCTCTTGTTAGACCAGCCATTCTTTGTCTGGTGTCGGAACAGGGATACAATAGCTGATAGCTTGCTATGATTAACGCACTTTGGAATATAAAGGTGTCTTGGCGTCAGCAATCTTTGCCAAGAACTCGTCTTCTTTCTTGTCTTCTTCCTCTGCGATCTCAAGCAGGTCAGCCTTACCAGAAAACTCTTCATCTTGATATTCAGCAGCTTGATATAACCCATAAATTTCTTCATTCCACTGACTAGCTTTGCTATCACTTTCAACCACTGAGTTCAATTCCCCATGATGAAACCAATCAGTGCGCATCTTGTAAGCCTCATCCATTCCCTTAGTAACGAGGTGATCAACTACTACACTACCAGGGTGACGATCTATATTGCGACACTCGTTGCAAGGACATATGATCATGTCAATGTCACCCAAAGTTGCAGACACATCTCATACAAAATTTGAAGCCCCCCTCTCATATGCAGGATCAGCTCTCTGTAGTAGAATCAAGAAAAAAGAAACTATTAAACTATCCGAACCCCAACTGAAACCTAATTTACATAAGTGGATTTATTACCTGCACAGATGCACCCAAGTCTTGTCCACCATTATAATTTATAAACCTAAAGTGACCTATAGTGACATATGGAGGATATCAGAGAGAATGAAAGACCAGGCAATATTCATATCGTTAAACAAATAACTCAGATTTAGAAACAAACTCAATATAAACATCCTCAATAAATCTTTTTTAAATAGGTTACAAAAATATGTCTAACACATATCCGCATATTTAAAATCAATCAATCATAAATCACCAATCCAAACAAACAACACCAAGATATTATACTACTTAAGGGAATCTATTTTAAGAGTCTACAAGAAGATGGTGCTAACCTGTCGGCTGATAAGATTCAAGCAAAATCTTCAAGTTTCCATTATTGTTCTCGACAATACTTGCAAAAATAAAAATTACAGCTTGAGTATCCATTATTCATAAACATGAAACACAACAATTTACAATATCTAGTTTGCAGTGTTTTAAAAACAATCTAACTGAATAGAAGTAATGCATCGGAAGTTTAGGATAATAATATAAGCACAACTATATGAAATTGCATATACATAACAACAAAAAATTAAAATTGGAAAGATGCATCACAAGTTACATAGAACTTATGAAGTTGTAATCACGAATAATCAGCAGTTCTTCCGAAATTGTTCTAAACACCTAAATCAAATCACATAAACATTTAAAACTTTGCTAAAATCGAATCACTCAAACCCTAATTTCGATTCTATCAGACAACCAAAGTAACCAGAAATCCCATTAAGATAAGCGATATGCATGAAAGAATCGATTTCAACCAGAAAAAAAAATGAATGAAAACAGCTGAGAAAAGAAGAAGACATGCCTTCGATTTGATATGGATATGGAGAGCGATGGGCAAATTTAGGGCCGACGAAAGGGTTTTCTGGTCGCGGCTAGCTTCACCGGTGTCGGCGGCGAGTTTAATTTGTGGCTGGTGAAGGGAGCTGGTCTGAGAGATTTGGGTCGGAGATCTTAGGGTTTTTCGATAGAAAGGTAAGATGAAAAGGAGAAATGAGGTTTACCCGAGAAAAGTAATATTTTGTGCTAAGTGTTTGGCGGAATAAGTGATTTTAGTTTTCCGCTTAGAGAAATAATATCATAGCGTTTATCAAATGCTATAATATATATATAATAATTACAATCACAAATTCATAGCATTTCCGCAAACCGTGCTATTACATTGTGCTATCAATGAGGACTTTTTTTTGTAGTGTATGCTAGATTCATCGAGTTTCAGCATACTAATGATAAAAAATTGATGTGAGTTCTTTGTATTTGTATTGAATCTAGAAATATTTACAAGAAAATATCAGAGTTTCATAATAACTTGAACAAGAATCTCATAACGATTCCTTTGAGCTTATAACATTCTATAACAAACTCAGATAAAACATAAAGAAGATACAAAATATATCATCCTTTATTTATATTTCCCAATCTTGAACACTTCTCCTTCTCTTCACTTAATCCAGCTCACTTTGTTTGACTTGATTGTTCTGATCATTGACGTTCTTCCTTCTCACATACAAATGATGCAATTTAGCATAATTGTGTAAAGATATTTGGATATCATTGGTTATCTATCCTTTTTTATAACTAAAACGTTTTAAACATAACTTATACAAGATCATAGTTTATAGTTTCACACTTTCGCTTTTACTGCACTATTCGTTCTCATAGTGATGGTCTTGCAAGTATCGAATGGATACGTCTATTTTCACATTGGGCAATACATAGTGTCTTACAAAACTAAACAAAACCAAGCTTTTAGTGCCTTAAAAAGGTTACTTTAATTTGTTAATTATAACCGCAAAAGCAAAAATAATTTGGCGTTTGAAACCATCATCACACTTTTCTAATGAAAGATGATACGATTTACACAAACGTCAAACTTTCGACCATAACCCATGAATTGATGTAGCAAGATGTCCAAATACTCAACGTGAAGCAATTATCATCAATTTCACTAAATTCCTGTTTTAGAAATATCATCAAACAAATCTGTTTATTAGTTTCACTAAACTCCTACCTCAACATGTTTCCTCCGGAGACATAATTAATCAGATATAAGTAATACGATTATTATTTTTTGAGTTGTGAAATTGATTTTGTTCTTTAAAAAGTTTGTTTGTTATATTCTTTTTGTTTTAAAATATAAGTCCTTTTATGATCTATTTTTTTGAATCAAAATATAAATCATTTTTGATTTGTAATGCATAATTAAAAAATATTCGAGTTTTAATCCTATTGTGGTAATGTATTAATAAAAGAGTAAAAAATTAAATAGTGTTTTTTTTAATAAAAGAATAAGAGATAAAATAAATAAATAAAATATTATGTTTTTTTAATATATGTGCAAGCACCTAAAATAACTTATATTTTGGAATAGAAGGAATATATAAAGTGTAATGGCTTGAAACAACAGATAAAGTTTGCTGTTTCAGTGCAAATTTTTACTTGTTTTTCAATTTTCTGATCAAAAATAAGTTAGTTTTTTTTATAATTTTATCCATTTATATTATGTAAATTATTATATTGGTTGCATCATGTTAATAGATAACAATGATATTTTAACTTTTACAAAACCCCAAAGTTTAAATGATACTTCTTAATTAGTGTGCAAAAACATAAAACATCACTTCTAATAAAAAAAGAAAATATGAAAATATAAAACTAGAAATGATTGCTAGTCAGAAAGAACATTTTTCCTGGTGTCACTACCGAAGAAAAAAAAAAAAAAAAAGAGACCGACCAAGAAAAAGAAGGGCAGTGTCTCATCCGATACTGAAACACTAAACAACAACATTTTTGTTACTAATCAAAGACACTTCCTTAAAACCAAAAGGGAAGTTTCTTTTCCTCTAAGGCCTATCCGATCTTGAAACACACAAACAACATTTTCGTTTATTCACTTCTTCAAGAAGGTCCTGGAGAATATCTTCTTGCAATAAGGACTCCACTTTAGGATCCCAAACCTACTCACTTTCTCCACCAACCTCGCACGAACGTGACCCTGTTTCAACCCCAAACACACATATCAATTTGATTGCGTTTTGTTGTATAGTTGTTTATGTTAGATTTTGGAAACTGACCTTGGTTACAGAGAGAGCAGTTTGGATAACGTAGTTTCCGTAAGGATCTTGCAAGATATGTTCAAAGTTTGGAACAGATAGAAGCTCCCGGACAATCTCAGCTCGACTCTGAGGATATTGCCTAAGACATTTCTCCATCACATGGCTACTGAATTTCTGAGTCGCTAGCTCGGCGTAATGCATTCTAAACTGAATCAGTAACTTCACTGAAGATACTTTTTGTTCTATCAGAAACTGCACCACATAGTTCCTGGAACGATTCCCATAAACCATACATAAGCAGAGTTTTTTCACAATAATACCAAATCATATCAAGTCTAGCTAGAGCCACGATTAATTTTACCCGAAAGGATCTTGAGAGAGGTGACGTGAGTTTCTTGATATCTCATCGACTAGTCTCTCACGTTGCTCTCCAAGAGAGTTTGAAACGCAGCATTGAAGCACAAAACATCCGTGGCGATGAGTTGCTATCTCAGCACAGTACTTCGTAGCAGCTTCCAAGACAAACTGAACACCAGATTTTCATAACATTTGAGAAATAATGAGAGCTTAAAAGAAAAGTGATTAAATAGAAGATGGAGATTATGTGACATTAAACAACAACCTTTTTGTCGTTAGGACCAAGAGAATCCAAGCAAGTCTGAATCACATGGTACCCATTCAAATCTTTAGCAAGAGCAACAAATTCCGATTTAAGACCTGACTTTATCATCCCGATCTGCTGTTTTGTTTTCACCGTTTCTATCATCTTCTGGACAACCCGTGTCCTGTTTCATTTCAAAACACAGAAAACAGAGATAAGATAGAGCAGATTTCTAGGCTTTTTGGCCAAAGGTCTCAGCTTTTTTCTTTTCTATTGCTTCTTAATGCTTGCAGTTTTGGTTTGTCCAAAAATAGCAAAAAGTTACATCCTTTTCTACCAAATATTGCCTTCTTTTATGTCTATACCTTATACCAAACTGTGCAGAGATTTCAAATATTTCCCTAAAAAGTAAAGATTTCATCTTTCTCAAAAAACAAGAAAGATTACATCCTAATCTACAAAAGATGAAATGTCTTAATCTCTAATGAAAACTCGTGGACTAGTGGCCAGTGGGGATTTGTGATATTTTAAATTTGTTGACTAAAATTAATGACGCAGAGAAGTTGACACAAGCTCTGTTTCTGTTACCAAATTAGCAGCAATAGAACTAAAATTGATAGAAAGAAAATTTAAAACTTATTACCCATAATTGTTGAGACAGATTTTGATGAGCTCCACTGGATTTGAGGTTAACACACTCATAATCAGCGTCCTTTGTTCCTCGTCACACACAAGCAACAGCTTTTGGACGATGTAATTCCCAAAAGGATCCATGGAAAGTTCAACGACATGGTCAATGGTTTCAAAGAATATAGCAGCAAGAATCTTTCTTTCATCGACCAATTTCTGCAAAACCCTGCAACCAATCTGGTCTTTGGCCATTAAGTTCACAGATCCGTAGATGTTAACCATGGAGGCTAGATCCAAAGGTAATCTATTCTCTGGATAACAAGCTTTAGGACCTTCCATGGCGTCTAGAGCACGAGAAACCCTATTTGCCTCAAACATCAACGCATCTTTCCCAAGAGAGACCTCTGGATAAGAAGCTTCCATGGTGTTTAGGGCACGAGAAACCCTATTTCCCTCAAACATCAACGAGCCCATAAATGCGTCGTTGCCGAGAGAGACGGCTCTAATACAAGGAGAAGAACGCTTGATGGGTCGGTTCATATGGTCGAAGAGAAAATCTCTTTGATTCTTCTGAGTCATCATCTCTCTAAATCCGTTGGGGTTAAAAGAGTCTTGAAAGCCAAGCAATCTAAGCTCTCCCTGAGAAAGTCCATGAGAGGAGCTCTTTCGAAGAAAACCAGAGGAAATGTTAGAAGCTCCTCCTCCACACAGATTCCGATCGAATCCAGAAGAAAACCCATGGAGAGTTCTTCTAGACCCGAAATCAACCGGGTCGGGTCTGCTCCAGATACTCATGTCACAGGAGATACCCATTTTGTTAAGCTTTTTACACAAATCCAGACCATTATCCACCATATCGCTATTGTTGTAGCTCTGGTTTTTGAGAAATGGGTTTGTGTCGAGATTCTGTAAAAACCCATCAGGGAGACGACGATCGGAATAAGGTCGTTGTATGTTAAAATCACAACTCTGATTCTTCAGAAATGGGTTTGCGTCGAGATTCTGTAGAGACCCATCAGGGAGACGACGATCGGAATCGGCTCTCTGTATGTTGAAATCACCGTGATGATGAAAACCTCCAAAACCCATAAATTTGTCGTCAAACATTGTCGATATGAAGAAGAGTAGTAGAAGCGATAACGAAGAAGAAGAAGATGAGGAAGACGAAGATTCAAATATGTAGAGAGGGTGTGTGTGTGTGAATAAAACCAAGGGAACAATACGGAGAGAGAGAGGTTGCAGGTGATATAACAAGAAATGGTTAGAGAGAGTGCGAGAGAGAGAGAGAGAATGTTGTTCTCTGCGAGAGAATGTACGGACGCACGTCCAAGGCTGGCTTGTCTCTTTTGTCGTTTTTCAGTCACATTCGCCATTAATACGCAGCAGAGCCTGAAGTCCTGAACAATGCTTTTTTTTGCTTTTTTTTTTTAACCTGCGGAAGAAAATTAAAATATTTACAGTTTTGTCCGTTTTCTTTGTTTTGATTATTTCATTTTTGTTTCAATATTTGCAGTTTTGTCCTTCTTTATCTTTAACGAAATAGATGATAGTTAAGGTTGTTCACACAGTCATTTAATATTTGTTTTATTTTCTAAACATCATTTATTATCTACTTAAATACAGTTATATTAGTAAATAATACAAAGCAAATAGTCAAAGTCAATTAATAAAAAAACTAATTAATTTTATATTGAAAGTTGAAAACATCATTTATTTTGAAATATTTTTTGTTTAAAACAGTGTCGCTAAAAAATAAAAGAAATTTGAAATATAATTAACTAAAATTAACTTTTTGACAAAAAAAATCTTTATTTTGAATTCTCATTTTGACGTATCACTTAATATTTATCAATATAGTCGATTGATAATAGATTTTCTTTTGTTATTTTTTGGTCTTTAAAATCAGTAGGATCGTTTTATATAATTCGATCAATCCTATTCTATATATTAAAAAAAGAACGACACAAGAAAATGAGATATGTGAGCAGTTTTCTTCAATCACCAGTCTGACAGAAAATAGATTCAAGATTTTTTTATCAATCGATTCTTTCACGGCATGGAAAAAATATATTTACAAATTTACCCTTTTTCTCTGAATCCATTATAAGCTAGAAAGTAGTGCCAAAAGAGCCAAAATTTATGTGTTTTTAATCATTATATGATGTATTAGTAAATATTTTATTTTAAATTATCTGATATTTTCTATTTTAATGTAAAATTAATTAGTTTTGTTCAAGTTTCAATGCAAAACTAATCATAAGTGATGTTTTAGAAAATTTTTAATTTCAAATTATAAAGTATTTAATTTCAATTCAAAATAATAAATTCTTTTAATAATTTTTCAATTTTCAATACAAAATTAATTAATTTCAATTGTTGTTATCCATCTATATTTTTGTAAATTATTTTATCATTAATTGCATTGTGTTTAAATAGACAATAATGATGTTTTAGTTTGAACGAAATTCTTCTTACAAAATTTAAACATTATTTATAGTGAAAAAAATATTAAAATACAATAAAATAGAAACTAGAAATGATTGTTAGTCAGAAGTCAGGACTCAGGAATAACATATTTCTTTTGAAATCTTACTCCTATTTTCCACATATCACTTAATATTTTGATTGATATTTTCTAATGTATTTTTTTTTGTTTCTATCAGGATCCGTAGGATCGTGATATATAATTCAATTATTCTGTTTATTAAAAAGCATCGACACAAGACAAAATCTGATCTTCGAGCACTTTATTCAGTCACCTACTCACCTCTAACGGTATCAACAAGCAGCTGCGTCTTTCGGTTAATGCTAACCCAAAACCCATCCGGTTTAGCTCCTCTGTTCTTGATCTCTCCAAGACTCACCGAGCGAACTCTATCACCAATCACGCCTCTTGTGTAAACTCGGTCATGACTTTGTGCTCACTAAAACATGCGTTAGTGCTTGTAGGAGTTAGCCAATTATTTCTTTTATTTTTGCTGATTATTTCATGTGAGAGTTAACCCATTATAAGCTATAGAGTAATGCTAAGATTTGTGTTCTCTAATTTTTTTCCAAATTATCTGATATTTTCAAATTTCAATGCAAAATTAAATAGTTATTTTAAATGAATTATTTTTCAATTTTCAATGCACACTAATCATTTATTTTGAAAAAAAAAATATTTTCATTATCTGATTTTCTTAACTTTCAATGCAAAATTAATTAATTTTCTTTAGTTAATTTGATTTCAATTTTCAATGCAGAAGTCTTAGTCTTTTCATTGTTTTTCAACTTTCAATGTAAACTAAATTAGTTTTTGCTTATTTATATTCTGTAAATTTTTATCATTGGTTGAATGTTTAGATAGATAACAATGATGTTTTAGCTTTTGAGAAAACCAAAACTTTTAATGATTTCTCTTAATCTACGTGCAGAAATTTTAAGCAGCACTTTAAAAAAAGAAAATATGAAAATACAATAAATAGAAACTATAAATGAATGATTGTTAGTCAGAAACAACATTTTTCTTTTGGTAATCGGATTGCCATTTCCACATATCACTTGATAATATTTTATTTATCATAGCCTATTGGAATTCTCTATTGTATTTTTTTTTTTCTATAAGGATTAGTAGGACAATGACATTCAGTTAATCATATTCTATTTTATAAAAGTATCGACACACAAAACCTGATCTTTGAGTACTTTCTTCAATCACCGGCCTGAGAGAAAAACAGGTTCAAGGTTATTATCAATCGACTCTTTCACAGCATCAACAAGAAGCTGCGTCTTCCGGCTAATACTAACCCAAAACCCATCCGGTTTAGCTCCTCTGTTCTTGATTTCACCAACTAACCGAGCAAACTCTATCACCATACACGCCTCTTGTATAAACTCAGTCACGACTTTGTGCTCACTGAAACAATCTTTGCTACTTGTACTAAACGAGGCCTCGGTTTCTTGAAACGGGATAACAAAGTCGTGTACGCGGAGAGTACCTTTCGTACCGATCGCGGTTATCTCCATGGTTAGATTAGCCAAGAAAGAGCAGTAGATTGTTGCGGTTATCTCTTTTTCCCATTCGAGCAATGCGCCACAAGAGAGAACGATCCCTGCATCGTTTAGGACAGGACCGGGCAAGGCGGTCACGGTTTTTGGAAGTTTGAAGTTGTTGGCGAGAAGAGTTGATTGGATTGTGTACCATCCGGCGTCTCCGAGTGCACCAAGTCCGTCGAGACCAGGCTTTACACGGATGTCGTTTTTAAGGAAGTTTTCGTTTGCTGCAAATGAGAAACAACTGTGCACCTGAAAACATAAATTGGAAAAAGGAAAAGCTCATTTACAAGTCCCTAAAGATCACTAAACTTTTACATAATAGGATAGTTTTCTATCCAAATGAAAATTAGGTCAGCAATAATTAACCAAACCAAACCAACGTTTTCCGTTTTTGGTTTTAGCTCTGAACTGAACGACAACATTATATTACTTGCACCTGAAAACATAAATTGGAAAAAGGAAAAGCTCATTTACAAATCCTAAGAGCAGCTCAGTAGTGTAATTCAGCTTAAGTCTCCTTAAAATTTTTTATTAATTTTTTTTGAAAAGGTGATGTGTGGTAAGAGAGAGACTCGGGTTTCTTTTCCCGATAGCGAAGAAATGAATTTTTAACAAAAAAGAAATTCAATCTCACAAAAATTGAACGACCAATAGCCTTACTCCACGTCACCAACGTAACCGTCTCCTGCGCCCTTTACTGAAGGATCGATCTGTCACATTTTTTGAGTTTTTAATTTATTATTAATTAAATTTGTCTAGGATACTGGGCTAAAAAATGGAAAAGAGAGGCTGATGGAGCTGGTCTAAAGATCACCAAACTTTTACAGGATAGTTTTCTATCCAAATGAAAACCAAATTAGGCCAGCAATACTTAACCAAACCAAACCAACGTTTTCTGTTTTTGGTTTTAGCTCTGAACCGATCGACAACATTATAAAATCCATTCGATTTTTGGTTCGGCGATATCGAACCCATTTGGTAATTTTCTTCTAATTTTTTCTAACCGATATATATATATATATATATCAATCTATACCGAATTATACTGAACTATACAGAGAATATATTTAAAGTTTTTAACCAAAAAACTGTACTAACCGAATTAAACCAAAGATTTTGGAACGGAACCAAAGTTTTCAGTTCTGATTCAAGTTCGGTTATGAGCTATAAATCGATCGATAACACTATAACATCCATTTGTTTTTCAGTTCGACGCTATCGAAATGATCGGTTCTTATTTTTCTTAACCGAAATTTACCAAAATATACCAAATTATACTGAGCCATACCAAATATAGATTTATAAACCAGAACCAAAAACCAAACTAACCGAATTAATCCGAAATTACTCGAATTTAACAGGAAAAAAACGGAAGATTCGGTTCAATTCGGTAGAATATACCCGAACTACACAAACCGAAGTTTCATTCGGTTATTTTCGGTGGACTTTTCTACAAGTAAAACACTCTGCTAACAGAACTACCCGAACCGGAAAAACCCGAACAAACCGAAATAGCCGTAGAATTTTCCTGAAGCAACTATCCTACTATCCTACTAACCAAACTAACCGAACCGGAAAGACCCGAACAAACCGAATTCGCAGCCTAGCCAAAAGAATCATCGTGTAGCAAATAGCAATTACCAATTTCAATTTCAGATCAATCCTGTTATGGGAAATATCATCAAAATCTGTTTATCAGTTTAACTAAATTCCTACAGCAAAATGTTTCCTCCTACACATAACCATCATCGTTTCTATATTCAATATCAAGAAACAACGATTGAAAAATTTGAGATCGACGACACAAACTCACGGTTTTGAGCTGGCCAAATCTCACAGGATCGGTCAAGAACTCCTGAATCTTAGCCGTCCTTGGATTATGCATCCACTGAGTCCCATCCATAAACTGAATCCCATTAGCCTCACAAGCCTCAACGATCTGATCAAACTCGGAAACATTCAATCCAACGGGCTTATCAATCAGCACGTGTTTCCCCTTTCCGGCGGCGCGTACAGCCCACTCGACGTGGAGGCTGGCCGGGATCGGAAAGTAGACGGCGTCGACTTCGGGATCTTCTAGAAGCGACTCGTATGAGCAGTGGATCTTCGCCGTCGGAGAAAAACCGTTAGATTTGGCGAACGATCTCGCTTCTTCGATTGAGATGGAGATGCTGGCTATGGCTGTGATTGTAGCGTTTGGAGCTAGATTGATGGCTCGAGAGACTTTGCGGACGATGTTTGAGCTGCTTAGCAGTCCGATACGGATCTGGTTATCGCCGGTGGCCATTTTTGCTTGAGTTCTTTTTGTTTTTCGGCGAGAGATGGGAGGCGAAAGTCAAATCTTGGTCATCTCTCTATATAGTTTTGGTCAACAGTTTTAGTAAGTTATATCTAAAGGAGTTGGTGTTAAGCATTTTTTTTTGTTTGCCAGGCTAATTTCTATATTTAAATTAATTATGATCTCTAGGCAATTCTTTTTGTTAGATTATTAAGACATGACATTTTTTTCCATACCAGGATGGATCTAGAAATTATTTAGCATATTAATCTTTATTATTTATTTAGCATAACACAGAACATTTTTATTTAATAATATGTCGTCAAAAGACAAAAAAATTGTTTGTTCTTAAGTAGCAGCAAATGATACAATAGCATTTGTAGTCCAAAATGAACTTGTTTTTTTTTTCGAATAATACAAAAAGAGTTGACGAGAAAGGAAAAACATAATTTTTTTTTTGTCGTCAAGGAAAAAGATAATTATTTTCCTATTTTTGTAGGTCGAGAGAAAATCAAAGTCATTTTGTTTTTGTTTTGTTTGTTTTTTTTAGTCGGCGACTAGAAATTTCATTAAAGAGAAGCGGCGCCTCCGCCTTAAGCGATAAGTGAAGAAAGAGATAGATAACTACATGAGTAGAACAGAGGAAACTACGGCTGGTTGCGTTGTCGGAATCTGCTCTCTAGTTTCTCAAGGTTGCAGATTCCTACGGATCATACTCTCTTTCCTCAGTGATGTTTCCTCAAACCGGAATCGGGATCGCAATAACCGTCGTCAAGACAGAGACGATCACCGAAAAGCTTAAGCCTGAAGCTTGCTTCGTCAAAGCCCAACCGAGTTCGACAACGATGAATACACGAGTTTCGATTAACGATTCACAGTACCTCTTCAAAGATTATATGCAAACCAGAAAGTCTCTTTACCTTACCTAGCTTTAAGACTGTTGATTCTGGAAACGTATCTTGTGAGACTGTGTGAATAGCGATCCAAACAAAAAGCATTGAACAATCGATAAGCGAACAGAATTCTTTACTCTTTCAAACTCTGTACATATTCAAAGACTCATATATATATATATTAGAATAGGTCAATAATCCCATGACCACTAACTAGCGTGGATCATGTTATCTTCTAACTTACTTATAATTAAGAATCTTTTAGTTCACGAAGAACCACCTTTCACGAGATGACGGGTCTCCCCGAGACTCGAACTGTGGCTATGAACAGCCAGAAGATGGCACACAAGGCACCCACAACTGATAACAGAAGAAAGCCTCTGTTTCTGCTCTGCTTCTTAGCTATGGTACTAGTAGTAGTAGCAGTAACTGGCGTTCCATTAGCCTTTCCACTGAACCTGATGCGGCTGAAGCTAGACATACGCACATAGGTTCGATTAAGAGGACCTTCACACGCAGAGGCTGGCGTTGAAGGTATTGAATCCATAAATGCCCACAGAGCCGATGAGAACGGGCTTGTTCCACCATCGTTTCCGCCCTCCTGGTCTTGGGGATTTATACTCACAGTTGGATTTGTGGAACCGGGAATCACACCTAAGCAAATAGTATTTACAAAGTATCAGCGGAAAGGCTTAGGCTATGACGTTTAAAGATCATCATAACAAGAGGTTTTGTTAAGCAACAAAAAGCAGAGTATCATATATACATCTTAGTTCAAGTCAAAGACAAATGCAGAACATATATTCGTGCTTAGTTGGGAAATAACTTGACATACAACAAAGGTGAATGTTCTGAGACGAGCATGAGTCTAAGTACCTGATGAGGGTGAAGCCAATGCTCCAGAAATAGATTGTGGCTGATCAAAGAGAATAGCTTGATCATCAGCGTTAAACCACATATCGTCAGTGAACTGATTTAAGCTAGGATCCATGATGTTGTTCAGCTGGTTCTCGGGGTTCTGGTCCTGGAACTGTTGATAAACGAATTGCTGTTTCTGGTCAGATGAGATGTCAGCTAAAAACGAGGGACCTGTAGAAGTTTCTTGAACAATAGGTTCCATATCCAAAGACATGGAAACGTCATGGAACAATTGGTCAAAGTCATTAAAGTCTCCATATTCACCATGATTCAAGAACTGTGCGGGTTTCTCAGTTTCAGAAGCTCTGAGTTCAGGGATCAGAAGATCATCCATTTCAATGTAATCCTCCTTCTCAAACACCAGAGCGTTCTTGGGAGCTGACGTGACCTCAATAGACTCAAAACTTGAGGGTCTTTTGTATGGGAGGCCGTTTGGCAAAAACTCTCCGGTTTCCTGGGGTTGAAGAAACACTTTAGCAGAATCATTCACCAACGTGCTCTGCAGCTCTTCTTCACTATTAACCTGCAAATAAAATAACTATGAGTAAGGTCATAATAAAATGAACAGGTGAAATGAGCCCTAATCTAATAGAATGGTAGTAATCTTCCTCATTTAAAGAGAGAAGAAACTGACCTGTGGAATACTAGCAGCAAGGCCATTAATACATCTTTGAGGAACCCCAGGTGCATCTGGGATTTCTCTGAGAAGCTCCTCGATATCATCTAACCGAATATTAACAGGATTGAAAATTCTACCACCATCAGCACGACGAGGATCCTCATAACGAACAACAGGCTCCTCTGGTACAGCAACTTCATTCCCATCTTCATTATCATCATCAACCCAATCTTCTTCTTGAAAAGGAGCACCATACTCTTCACCATTCTTGGGTCCAGCCCCACTTTTCTTGAACAGCTTATAAAGAGCATAATAGTCCTTGACGTTCTTGCATCTCATGAGCTCTTCTTCATCCATCGTGTACTCGTGCATCACCCAGTCGGTGCGCTCGCCGTTAGGCGCACGGCCTCTATAGAAAACAAGAGTCTTTTTGAGCCCAACCGGTCTCGAGTTGTACACGATGATTCGATCTTTCCCTGTAGCTTTCCAATACCCAGTCGCGGTGCCTCTGCCTGATCTAGCTGCGTTTGGATACTTCCTGTTCCTTGGAGTGAAATAGAACCACTGTCTATCTCCCGTCTTCAACACCGATTGTCCTGTGTCAACAACACACACACACGGATGTTTCAATAAGACTGAGAAAATAAACAAAATGAAGAATCAATTGAAGCGTAAATGATCTCAAATCAGAATTTTGACATAAACCCCGTAACTATCTGTGATGATCAGAATCAAGCTACAACAAAAACCATCGAAACCTAAATCTATTTAGCCTAAGAAAACATACAAAATGAAGATTCAATTGAAGCGTAAATGATCTCAAATCAGAATTTTGGCATAAACCCAGTCACTATCTGTGATGAACAAAATCAAGCTACAACAAAAACCAACGAAACCTATTGAGCCTAAGAAAACATACAAAATGAAGAATCACTTGAAATGTAAATGATCTCAAATCAGAATTTTGACATAAACCCAGTAACTATCTGTGATGATCAAAATCAAGCTACAACAAAAACCAACGAAACCTAAATCTATTTAGCCTAAGAAAACGTTGAAAACATACAAAATGAAGAATCAATTGAAGCGTAAATGATCTCAAATTTGATCAGGACAAAATCTAAACCCGATAACTATATGTGATGATCAAAATCAAGCTACAACGAAATTCTAAATCTATAAAAGCCTAAAGGGAAATGGAAAATTTACCAGGCAATGCCTCAGGATCCATTTTGTAAACATCAACAACGCCGATGACATTGACTCTAAGCCTTTTTTTACAGATCTTCCTCTTGAGATAATACATCACCAGCTCCTCATCGGTGGGATGGAATCGAAACCCTGGTGCGCTAAATTTTCCTCCTTTGAAACACGAATCTGCAGGAGAAGAAGAATCCGCCATCAACGTAGAGAAATCGGAGCCGATCACTTGTTAAAAAAATCCTCTGCGACCCCAAAAAAAAAACAAATATCGATCGGGTCAACGAGAAGAAAAAACTCTGAGAAGATCCCTAACTCAGAAGAGAGATTTGGTTGGCTAATCTGATCTCTCAGCTTTTCTCTGCTACTTCGCAGTCATTTCGTCTTGGGCTCAAAATATGCTTGTTTCAAGCCCATTATATCGATAGGCCTGTAATTATTATTTATGTATTTTTTTTTATTTAATTTGTCATGTAAATTGGATTTGTGGTTGACGTGAAGAAGAAGATACTGCTCACCTTGATGTTTTTTCTCTAAAACAATAAATTATATACAAGATAATATTAGATTAGATCAGATTAGCAAGATAATTCTGAGAATTTTGATATTATCTTAGATCAGATTAACAAGATAATTCTGAGAATTTTATATAGTTATTTCCTTTTTTCCTTTTTCGTTTTGCCCTGTTAAAAGTGTTTTCCTTTTCCCCTAGTTTTGTTTTTCTAGCTTCATTAGGAACCTTCAGAGAAAATTCTCTTTATATATCTTCTACAGTTTTCAGGAGACACACACGCTTGCTTTTGAGAATCAATAATAAACCTTAAGAGAAAAACTCAGAACTTTATAACTTCTTCCACTCGGATCAGATCGTTGATTTGGATTTGAATTTTTGATATAAGAAACGATGGAGAGGACGAGTAAGCTTCTTTTGAAATCTTAAAGATTGTTTGGTTTCTTAGTGTGGTTGGGAAGTTGATTTTTCGTTTGATACATGGAACTAAAGATTCAATTTTTGCTGGAAAATATTGCAGAATCTCAGCGTAAGAACGTTCCGATGGATTTGTTTGATAATGACGATGATACAATTAGCATGGATGAAGTTCACGTTCACAAAGATGTTATGTTGGATCAATCCCTTGATGCTCTGTTTGAGAAAAGGTAGGTTTCTTTTGTTGTTGGGTTTTTATTATGCTTTTGCTTGAGTTTGATGTGAAACTAATAGTGTTTGGATTCTTTTCTGGATGCGTAGGAGTTCAACGAGAGAGCAAGCTTTAGCCTCCATTGTTGATGCATTCAACAACGACTTGCAGCATGAGTTTGTGGAAAATAAGTAACCATCTGATACCCTATTTTCCTTCTTTAGTTTAACATTCCACTTCAAAAATCTAAGACTTCCGTCACTATTAAAGATTATGTGTATAGCTAGGAATTAGATAGAAAATTTCTGTGGTTAGTTCCAGAAAAGTAACAAAAAAGCCAAAATAGCCACAGATAAAAATTAATTATGAAGCTATAGCCACATATTTTTTTTTTCCAGTAACTATAGCTTCATAGCTAATTTTCCGTGACTTTTTGATGGCTTTTTCATAGTCTTTTCGTGGATTTTCAAAATAACCACAGATTAATACGTAGCTATACACATGATTTTTAGTAGTGCGTGTAGTTGATCATATATACAGAATTATGGTTCAGTATTGATCACTTGATTGTTGTCTAATAATTTCTTCTTAACGATGCAGGTTTGCAACTTTGTTGCACCAGTGTTTACATTGCACCAAGAAAGGGTCCAATAAGGAGACCTCATTAGCATCACATGCTATTGGTTAGTACTTAGTACCCTGAGTAACAAGGCAACTTATATGCATCATCTTCAGCAGTTTTTTTTTTTTTTTTTGTGAGCTATACTAACAGTTAATGTGGTGTTTCCAGGACTGCTAGCATTGACTGTTGGACTCGGTGATCAAGCACAAGAGATTCTGGAAGAATCTGTCACTCCTCTTTCTCAGGCCCTTAAATCTGCCCGTGAAGCCACGAAAATAACTTCGGTATGGATGATTATATAATCGAGTTTCTTTGTTATACTGTTAAAGGTTTCTATATAAGATTCATTTTGGATTCATCACGCTTGTGATATCCTTGCAGATTCTAGAGTGTTTAGCGGTCATAACCTTTGTTGGTGGGACCAATGACGAGCAAAAGGAGAGATCTATGCAAATAATATGGCAAATGATTCACCCCAAACTAGGGTCTAATGTTTGCATCTGAAACTGTCATTACTTTGCTAATTTGGTTTATTAAGAAAGTAGGTTGTTTAAGCTAAAGTATATAATAGGCTCACATGTAAGCTGGAATTTTGTGTAGGTTGTTACAACCAAACCTTCACCTGCTGTAATAACTACTGTTGTCTCTTCTTGGGCGTTTCTGCTTACAACAGTTGATCAATGGACCCTAGGTCCCAAAATTTGGCAAGAGTAAGTGGAGCTTATCAGTCAGTTATTTGACCTAGTGTGTCACTTACTAATGGATTTATAATCCTGATTAGTTGTTGAATGTCATTGTATGTAGGATCGTAACTTATCTCTCCTCACTATTGGAAAAGGATGACCGATCTGTACGTATAGCCGCTGGTGAAGCGCTTGCTATTATATTTGAGTTGAGAACTCTAGAGAAGTTCTCAGCCGAAGCCAAAGGATCAGTGAAAGAAGGAAGTGTGTCTCAAGAGGCTTTGATTCACATGCATGGCTTGAAATCTAAAGTCACTAATCAAGCTAGAGACCTCTCTTCAGAGGCAGTTGGTAAAGGTTCCGTTAAGAAAGATCTCAAGACCCAACGAAATTTGTTCAGAGATCTTGTTGAATTTCTTGAGGTATATACCTTCATCTTTTCTTTGATATATGCTACTCATGAGGTTTTATGTTTGGTTACTGATTTTTATTTATGATTTGTTTTATTTATGATTAGCGTGGATACGCACCTGAAACCTCTACAAAGGTCGGAGGGGACTCTTTACAGACCTCAACGTGGCATCAGATGATACAGGTTTCTCTCAATCTTTATAAGTTTTTAAGGTGACAAAATATGATAAAGTATGCTATAGGGTACTTACTAAGCGAGCATAGGAATGTACAATCAGGATTAGGAATCGGATTTTACAGCTAATAAATACGGGTCTTCAGGGTTTGTATTATTCATTCACATGATAATAAAGAAACCCTAAAGAGTCAATCACCTTAATTCATGTTTTTCTATTATTTTCGAATTTCTTCTAGTTCGATTCGACTTAATTCCCAACATATTTTTTTGGTCTGGTTTTTCTTGTGACTGGTTCTAATAGTTACATGTTGATTTTTTCAACAGTTGAATTTTTTGAAGCATTTCTTTGGGGTTGGCTTTAACAAGCATATGCAGGTCTGTTTTTCTTATTTGCCTTGCTTTCCAAGTTTTTACTCTCTCTTAGGGTTTCTTCTTCTTAATAGCTGACGCTTTGGCTGTTCCATTCAATTTTGCAAACAGGAGAATGAATTCCTCCATGATGTGTTTAATTTCACTCCAAAGAAGATTGGTCGAGGGTGGACACTTGAAAAGAAAAGCGAAAAGGTTTGTTTGTGTGTGACTCGCATTCCCCTTTGTTCCTTTAGTTGTTTAGGCAGAGATTATTATCCGGTTTTTGACAGTGATCGTTTGTTTTTATGTTCTATCATCCCATTATTTGCTACTATTTGTTGCAGAGATTGTTTAAATTGCCAAACTCAGCTCGCAACAAAATAAAGACGGGACTCCTCAACATGGAGAGGATGTTAGCTAAGGTATTATATCATGGTTGATTGTCTTCTCTGGGACATTGCATCCTTGCGTCCTTGTCTTCTCATCCCATTATTTGCTACTATTTGTTGCAGAGGTTGTTTAAATTGCCAAACTCAGCTTGCAACAAAGCAAGGACACAACTCCTCAACATGGAGAGGATGTTAGCTAAGGTATTATATCATGGTTGATTGTCTTCTCTGGGACATTTTGTTGTGCAGAAAATATAATGCGTTTTTTTCCAACTATGGTTGCAGAATATGAACGTTGGGTACTACACAGCGACTGTGGAGCAATGAATGATGGCTTTACAATGATTTTGTATCTCTGCAAACTCATCTGACCATAGAATCACTTTTGCTGTTTCATTATTGGTCCCTTCATTAGAGTTTTCTATATCACAGTCTCTTTTACTGTCGAGTGCTATTCATATGATACAACAGTTGCTATTAGAGAGCCATTGACCAATTGTACTAAATTAAATTGTGAATATAACAATTTTTTCTGTCTCCAACCAAGTTATACAGAAGATAACAATTTACTTTCATTTATGTCTCCAACCAAGTTCGGCTAAATTCCAACTGTAAAAAACTGAACCTAATTTATTTATTCTAGATGATTTATGAAAATCATATTCGTTACTGAAGGTAATCTGTACAAAAACCCAAAAAAAAAAAAACTTACAAATTTTAATCTTAACAAAAATCCACTCGATATCAAACCCAGCAAACGATTTTCAAGCATCAAAAAATCTTATTCAAAGCTCTGTAGGCCACTCTATAGTCAATAACTCTAAAGGACTTATAGATAGATGCCTTGGATGAAGTTATAAATGCTACTTAATTACTAATATTAATTCTTGTGTAAAACCCGAATTTCTATAATAGCCGCATATTATGTAAAAGAGGAATAAAAATTACAAAAAAATAGATACCAAATATGCAACTTGAAGTAGAGGGATTTGTGTGGAGGCGAGACTCTCTTTCCAGATGTTGTTTTGTTTGCTTTTGTTCAATCTCTGAGAATGAGAAAGATAATTTACGTAACTTATGTAATTCAAATTGGATCTCAGTCAAAGTGAATAAAGAAAGACAATCAATATTGAATTAAAATGTTTGGTTGACCAGTAATTCAAAAAATCATGAACCAAAGAATCCAACGATTCTGATATCCGGTAATTCGGACAACTGAATTGCCCAAAAACGATATCGGAATATGGTCTTAAACCATCTTGTCAAAACGAAAGGTAGCAAAAAAAAAAAAAAAATCTTGTCAAAACGAGTTCCAACATCTTATTGGTTGGCTATAGATTATGTTTGAGGCTTAAGTTTATTCTCATACTTGATTCAAATTTTTGTTCAGCAAGAGCGTTTGGAAAAGAAAGAGTCACATATTTTTAGTTTGTTGCTTGAAACTATCATGCTTGTCACTTTTATAGAGATGAAGACTTTAACATTCAAACCAAACTTTTTTTCGAAAAAAAAACATTCAAACCAAACTGAAACGCATTAGAAGAAAAAAAAATCGTAACCGGAGAAACCCAGACCAAACGATTCAATCTCTTCCACACCGGTACTGGTATTTATTGGTTTTACCTTGTACCGAGATTTTGATGTGGCTTAGGTTATCACCGACTCTATACCGTATATATTTATGGTTAGAGTCTCTTCGAATGATTTGCTTTGCACTCTGTGTACCTCACTGACTCTCTCCCTCAAGATCGATCATGAATAGAAGAGGAGGGATTTCAGATTACATCCCTATTGATCTCATTATGGAGATATCATCGAGATTGCCTGCAAAGTCCATCGCAAGGTTTCATTGCGTGTGCGCTACGGGGTTCCACGTTGTACCGTCCATGTTTCACCGAGTTGTTCTTGACATGGTCACGTGCTCATCCACGTCTCTTATTTGCCCTCGAACGAGACGATGAGTGGAGCATTTTCTCGTCGCCTCAGCTTAAGAATCCATATGGGAAGAAGTCGTCGTTTCTTACACTATATGCCGATTTACATGTTAAGTTCTCTGAAGACGTATCGCCTCTAGACTTTTGTGGCCTTATCTCTGGTTTGATATATTTCTCTACTATGTTTATACACAAAGAAAGGACGGAGAAGCAGTCCCTGTGATATTGATAGGTTTTTAATGTAACTTTCTTGTGTATTGAAATGTAGAAGAAGAAATACAGAGTTATTCCATATACAGATTACAAACTCATGACGCATGTAACTGAATACAGAATACTTGAGCTCATATGCTCTAGAAAATAACAGAATGCATACGTATGATTGTAACAGCTTCTATATTTATACTAGTTAGCTTCACCACTCGCACTTCACGCGCTTCCTCCACGTGCCAGCTAACCTCAATCTTCTGTTTGCTCCCTTGTATTTGTTAATCTCCTTCTCATATACACATTCACGGGCCTATTAGATATTTAACCCTAGAACAAGACAATATGCGAGCTTGCCTAAACGGAGAACAGACGAGTGGTCAAGAATATTTTTAGGGTTTGATCCGATCGACAAGAAATTCAAGGTATTGTTTTTGGCTTGTCCACGTTTTTTGGGTGATGATGATGAAATTTTGGCATTAAAGCACAACGTGGACATTTTGACATTGGGAACGAGAAAAATGAGTTGGAGGAAGATCAAATGCTCCAGTTGAGTTGGGTGGGTAAAATGGGATTAGGTATGGTAAAATGGGATTATGAAGAAGATGGCAATACCGTTGAGTTGGGTGAGTTGTGTGTTTGGGTTCTAGAGGATGCCGAGAAACAAGAATGGTCGAAACATGTCTACGATTTTTTGGCTAATGAACTCGTTGACCGCAGTGTTACCCTTGTTTGATTTAGCAATAAAAAAATGTTTCCATCGTTGGAGTGACAGCTACGGGTGAGATTGTTTTGTCGAATGGTTATGCATCAAAACTGTTTTATGTTTTTACTACAACCGGGAAGGGAACACACTCCAACATGTTGAAATCCAAGGTTTTAGAGAATACTATGAAGCGTGTGATTGGAATTGTCATAGAGTTGTTGCCTATGTAGACTATGTAGAAGATCTTAATGTTATCGATGCAAAGTAACTCAAGTCAAGGCAAGGCCTAAATATCATTAGGAAAAGGCCAAAACTACCAAAACCACAAAAAATCTGGAACTCTGCTCCATCTTTCAAGAAGAAGGAGCCGACAACAATCCCTATGCTGAACAAGTACGATTTATTAGCAAATCTAGAGTGAGGAATAGGTGTTGTTGATTTGTTGTATTTTTGAGTGTGACTTCTCTCATTTACAGGTTTCGTGTGAGCTTTATCACTCTGTTGGGTTTTCATATTTTATAAACCTCTCTCGTATTCTCTTACTTTGTTTTCACGATGATACGTAAACTAATCTCGTAAGAAATTGGATATTTCAAGCTGTCAAGAATAATGTTATAGAGCATCGAGAATCGAGACAAAAAAAACCTCTTATATCAAAAACTAGTAAATTTGCCCGCATTTTATGCGGGCTGATATAATTTTTTATTTAATTGTTTGAAAATTTAATAGTAGCTTGGATTCAATTGTTTTTTTATTCTCTATTGTTGAGTATATTTGTTTGTTAGATTTCCTTGCATTTTAATTTTTGAAGACATGATGCAGACTATAAATATTATTGTTGTCTTTTATTGGTCCATTGGGCTGATATGTTTTTTGAATAAGGATACAAACTATATATATATATATATTCATAATAATTATAGAACAAAAACATAATGATTTGAAGTACAGTACCAATTTATTCTAAGGTTAAACAATTTAGAAGGATTGAGAGAATTAGAGAGAAGTCGTGTACATATTTATATTAAAACATTTGAAATCAAAAACCCTAATCTACACATCACATATTCTGTCATTCCATTATACATTCTATTTATTGATTTTTACTTTTTTGTTAGATTTGACTAAATATCGGTTTTATTAATTTTGAAAAATATTTTGATTGATAATGAAATGAAGTATTAAACCACAATAATTTAGAGCGGTATATTTTAAGTTATTTTAACACATCATCCGATAAGAACTAATAGAAAAATGATACTTAATTAGAAAATATATTTGTTTTTTATTCTCTATTGTTGAGTATATTTGTTTGTTAGATTTTCTTGCATTTTAATGTTTGAAGACATGATGCAGACTATAAATATTATTGTTGTCTTTTTTTAGTTCATTGGACTGATGTGTTATTTGAATGAGGATACAAACTATATATCTATATACTTATTTGTGTAGTGAAAAACTTATGTGCCATCTCCACAGCGAGTTTCATAATCTTTTGCTTATGTGTTAGCTCTACAATGAGTTTCGGCTGCAGAAAGACATTTAATCATATTTTTTTAATTAAATATCATATTTTATTGTTTCTTATAGTACCGTACAAACTTATTAGATCAACATGAGAAACCTCTTTTGTTATATAGATACGAGGCATCAAATTCCATAATCAATAATAACATAGGATTTGGAAAGACATTTAAAAATCATTAGTTCATCGCTATATACTTTTTGGATCAGTACGGTCTGGCCATCACATTACAGAGGCTCTATATCAGATATACAGTAGAAACTCTATAATTTAATATTTGATAAATTAATATTTTTTTAGTCCCAAATTTATATTTTGAACTAATTAATTTCTTTATAAATTAATAATTCTTTAAATTAATAAAATATGCGAGTCTCTTATAGAGTTTTTACTGTATGGGTTGGACTTGGTTCACCAGCTCAGATTCGAGGTTTGGCCGACGACAACGACTTCTTGTGACATAAAAACCGGGCTTTTTAGGCTGATGAATTGCCACTGTTTCGTCTTCGAGCATCATCATAACCAAAGACATTGTAGGTCTGTCCAATGCATACTCTTGGACACATACAAAACCAACTTGTATGCATCTCAGGACTTGTTCCTGCAATGGTGATGATGATGAAGGAAAATCTCTGATTGAGGGCTCTATTTAGACCTTTTCCTTCCTCCCAATTATTCCACACCTGTTAACAAAGATTGATGCATCCTATTTTTACTTACCATCAGTTTTGAAAGCAATATAAGATAAAATCTGAGAGAAATAGAGCTTACATGGCTGGTTATGTCAAGGTCTCTGTTCTTCTTTCCGCTTAGAATCTACAGTGCCAATACCACAAAGCTGGAAACATCTGATTTCGTCGAGATGATTCCACACTTGGCATACTCTGGGGACACATATTCACTACAAAATGGAAATAACACTCAACATGAGCTACAATATTTTCTCACGTTCATG